TCTTGTGTTTCTGCTTCCTGTTTGTGTAGCCATCTACTGCTTTATAAATAAATTAAAGAAACATCCTCATATGATGCCCGTATGCAAACACGGGGGATTCCCGGATTCATTAAATCTGCATGATGTGCAACATTGGTAAAGTTTCGATAGTACTATCGATAATAACTCTTGAGACTATCGATAGGGCCGACTATTGATAGTATCCGACCACTACCTGGGAGCACACCTTTTCTAATAAGGGGCACAACTAAGGTAAGTAGACCCCCAGCAATCGGTTAAAGTGGGCCGTAAACACTTTTGAACCGTTTAAGTCTCCAGATGTGAATGGAATATTTCCTGCCCTGCTTCAGCGGGCACAGGAAGAATTACTACCACACATAATCCGAATATCCCGGAGCAGTCTGGAACTGGAATATATACCAGAATCATGGAGAAGGGCCAGAGTCACCTTTATTCCAAAAGTAGGGAAAAGGATACCACACATCCTAAATCCTTCCGAGCAATCACATCCTTTAAAAGGCTGTTAATAATTATATCAGAACAGAAGTTCTGAAGAGGGTGCCACTCCACCACAGCCAGCACGCGTACCAAGCAGGAAGGTCTACAGAAACTGCCCTGGTACAGCTGACTAACGTAATCCAGGATGCACTGACAAACAAAGAAACGGTCGTCTGTGCCTTCCTAGACATAGGAGCATTTGACAACACGCCACAAAAAACTGTCAAAAGAGCACTTGCATAAAGAGAAGTAGATAGCACTACATCCAGATGGTTGGATCAGCTGCTATCTACGAGAACTGCAGACACAGATAGGACACCATCTCCATCTGCACAACCAGAGGATATCCACAAGGAGGAGTTCTATCCCCACTGATGTGGAGCCTAACCGTAGACGAACTAAGAGCTGGGCTGCAAGGAAGAATGGAGCCAAGAATCCATCGTTCTTGCTTCGTTCTTTCTCTTCAGTGGTATACGGATGGTTCCAAGACCATAGAAGGAACTGGAATAGGAGTGTATGGGCCTAAAAACCAGGCACTCTGAAAGTTTGGGACAAACCCCAAGCATCTTCCAGGCGAAAATTCACGCCATCGAGAAGTGTATACAGCTTAATATCGAGAGAAACTATCGTAGACAAGAGATTATCATCATGTCCGATAACCAAGCAACCATTAAAGCGCTGAGCTCTTACGCAATCAGCTCAAAAATTGTTTGGAAAGGCGTAGAAAAATTGAATGAGCTAGGCGAGAAAAATACAGTTACTCTCACTTGGGTCCCGGGACATAACGGGGTACAGGGTAACGAAATTGCATATAGTCTCTCAAGGAAAGGGGCTCAAACACCCTTTGTGGGACCTGAACCGTTCTGCGGTATCAGCAGTGATATATTATTAGGAGATTAAAAAAGAATTGGGCAGTAGAAGAACCGATAATTGGAACAATCTCTTGGAGCTAAGATACTTCTGGGTGAATATAACCAAAAAAGATCGGAAGCATGCATCTGCCTGAGCAAGAACAGGCTACGTATTGTGACAGGGATCCTTACTGGGTATTGCCGACTAAAAGGACACCTTATAGTAAACTGAGAATAGTAGAAGATAGTGAGTGCAGATTCTGTGAGGAGGAGGACGAAACCTAAATTCACATTCTGACTAAATGTGTTGCACTCCAGAATCCAAGGGCACTTACCTAGGAGCATATCAAATAGAAGAGAGAGATTTACCTAACTCGAAGCCACTCCAAATCCTACACTTCCTTGAGAAGATAGGATTGGAAGGGTTGTTATAGGTATTGCATTAGCGACAGAAGGGGACACAATAGATCTTCAGAGCATGTATTGCCTGGAGATATATCCCAGCAATATGGCAAAAGGCGAAAGTAGTCTACCTTGCCAAAGTAGGTAGGGTCACAGACCAAACGCCAAAGTCATATCGCCCCATAAGCCTATCCTCCTTCCTACTTAAAATACTAGAAAGATTAATAGATAGGTATATCAGGGACGATATACTAAAAATAAATCCGCTTCATCCCAACCAATATGCATACCAGCCAGGAAAGTCAATTGACCTAGCGCTGGACGATCTAAACAGGCTGCTTTCAAAGTCAATAGATGACAAAGAAATCGCAATAGCCACTTTCTTAGATATTGAAGGAGCTTTCAATAATGCCTCAATCAGGTCAATAACCAAGGCTCTAGAAGGGAGAAACGTCCCAGTAACAATATGCCAATGGATCACTGCCTGTCTATAGAACAGGATTATTTTATCCACTCTAGGAAAGGCAACCATACAGGCAAAAATTACACGGGGCTGCCCACAAGGAGGAATACTATCTCCAATGCTGTGGTCAGTTCTTGTGGAGGACGACTTACTCAAAATATTGTCCAAAGAAGGCTACCAGTGCCTAGGATACGTAGACGACCTAGCAATCATCGTCAGGGGGCGATTTGCAGGTACAGTTTCGGGGCGATCTCAAACAGCTCTAAACATAGTGAACAACTGGTGCAAAAAGGAGCAAATGTCCATCAACGCACAAAAAACAACAGTTGTACCATTCACAAAAAAACGGGTACTTACAGGTCTAAGACCACTAGTACTAAACAGCACATTTATCCCATTCGTCACAGAAGCCATATACCTCGGAGTCATATTTGACTATAAAGGCTGACATGGAATCAACATCTCAAAAAACTCACACATAAAAAGCTACAATAGCTCTCGTAAGCTGTAGAAGAATATGTGGGAAAAACTGGGGTCTAAACCCCAAAATGACCATATGGTTATACACAAGGGTAATAAGACCCATGATAACCTATGGCGCAGTGGCGTGGGTAACCAAAACTGCGCAGGCAAGTGCAATAGGCCAACTCACTAGCATTCAGCGGCTTGCCTAAGTGCTACTGGGGCCATGCGCACTACGCCGACCGCAGCAATGGAGGTATTATTAAATCTCACGCCACTGCACATATTCATACAAGGAGAAACCAGGTCAGCTATTCACAGGCTAATGCAGGGACAAAACCCAATAAGCCAAATACATAGAGCCGACCACACAAGGCTATATCAGCAAGTAAAAAGGGATAATATTCTAGCTATGCCTACTGATAGAGCCATAACCACACACAAATTTGAAAGAAATTTTCAAATTCAAATATCAGCCCGAGAATCCTGGAAACAGGGACCTCCCGTACAGGCTGAACTCGTCTGGTACACAGACGGTTCAAAAACCAAGGAAGGAGCCGGTGCTGGAATCTATGGACCTAAGTCGAAATCAACGATTTCACTGAGCTTAGGAAAATATGCAACAGTGTTCCAGGCTGAGCTAATTGCCATACAACACTGTGCAAGAGAAATATTAAATCAGCAAGTATCAGGCAAAACTATTGCCATATACTCTGATAGTCAAGCAGCTTTAAAGGCAATTCTCTCACCATAAATCAAATCACGACTGGTGAAAGACTGTCTAGAAGACCTGACAGAACTAAGTAGTCAAAATAAGGTGACCTTAGCCTGGGTTTCAGGCCATGAGGGCAACGAAAAGGCCGACAAGGCTTAGATAAGGCCATGACAGGCCCCGAACCCTTTTGTGGAGTTGCTAAGGCATTGTGCAATGCATCCATTAAACAATGGATGCAAAAAGAGTCTCAGGAATGGTGGAACAACTATCCAAGACTGAGACAGGCCAAACAGTTCATCAAGGAACCATCGGCCAAGTTTACGAAAGAACTACTGGATCAAAAGCGTCAAATCGTTAGGATAACAGTAGGCCTTCTTACTGGACACTGTCGCCTCAAAAGGCACATGAGTGTCATAAATCCAGCAGAAGAAGCAACTTTGTGCAGGTTCTGTGAAGAAGAAGAGGAAACATCATTACACGTCCTGTGCCAATGTGAAGGCTTGGCTGGAATGAGGTTTCTAACATTGGGCGAAGAAAAGCCAATTGCATGCAACTACATGCGGGAGCCACTGTCAAAGCTACTAAGTCTAATAAAAAAGACCAGGCTAGACGACATACTCTAAAACAAACGGAGTCCTACAATAGATCTGAAAAGGTCGCGGTGGACAAGGACAAATAACGTCCAACTCCTAATCTAATCTAGATCTTTTAGGTCGCAGTGTATTAACACCCCATTCCCAACGTAACATAGGAGCGGGGCCTTCAACGACAAGATGTGCCTCTTTTCAGGACGTCCTAAACTCTAGAAGGTAAACTATAAATACTAGGGTAGTACTCTTGTGGGTATTTTGTTACAAATATCCTCTAAATGAAAACTGGACAAGACTTTTTTCAATTCAGCCTAGCCATCAACAGGATTATAGGTTGATAGATGATAGGAAGCTTTTAATCAATTTCCAGTTTCTGTTATAATTAGTATGAAGGGGTTTATATTATGCTACCATGGAAACCCAACTAAGTGCCTTGAGAATTAAAATATATATGCTTTAAATACAGAAAATAAAAATATAGATGTTATTCGCATGAACTTTTATTATTTAGTAATTATTAAAGTATTACAATTTAATAGACCACACATTTGTATCACAGTCTAAGAACTTTCAAAAACATATTCTTACTAAAAGAATATAACAACATAAAAATATTTATTATCAACATATAAACTTTATAAAGATTTAACATTAATTTAACGTAAATAATATCTTTGTCTACATTTCAAATATAATTTATTGCAAGCCAGATCCTGAATATTATCTATCCTTAAATTATCTTGACGCATTAATTTTTTACTTATTTTAAAATCACACACGGAAAACTCTAAATTTCATTTCAAATGACAATTAGAAAAGTGCCATAGTTTAATTAATATAAATATTTACGTAGATAGGTAGTACCTATTGATTTTTACTACAAAAGATTCTATAAAGAACCCCTAACCAAAGTGCCAAAGTTAATGTATTTCATTTAGATTTCATTCAAATTATAATTTTTTACTGTAACTATGACAACAGGAATACCAAAATATATAGGTAAATACTATAATAAAATATTATGAAGAAATGTTTATACCCATAGCTTTAGGTAAAGTAGTGCCACATGGACCTGGAAAATGGAAAGCAAACATTTCACTTGCAGGTTCTTCATTCAAGTTAAATTCTGCTACTGGTTTTCCCTTTTCAGCTACTTCTGGAGCAAACATAGCTGCTGGGTATACCACTGAAGAAGTACCAATGACAAGACATATGTCACAAGTATCTATTGCTTCTCCTAAAATGAATAATGTAAGCTACAATAGTATATCAGTATTTTGATATAGGTACCTACCCTATCTTAGGAATGATAAATTATAAAGACTAGAGATAAGGAGACGAATCGGTATACTCAAAATACGGTCCCAAAAAAACGCATGCTAATTGAGCTTCTATAATTAACCGCATGGGCGCTGGTACTGCATACGTTGTTCAAAATACATGGCTTCTTATGGGAATTATACATAATTTTGTCAAAATAATAAAAATAAACTTGTTTACAGCTAAATAAAGTACAGAACATACTGTTGTATTTATTTCTAAATAAGTCTTGCATGTTTTAATTGATAAATTATTTAATTTTATCTATATAAAATACAAATTAGGTATGTATGACCAAATTCGAAACGGTTTCTTAATTGCTGAATTTTGTGGCAAATTGTTTTTTTTGAATTGAACTAATATATAGTTTTGAGAGTAAAATAAAACACAGTTAACAGATTTTTTATTGTTGTAATAAAGGGAGATTTGGGAATGTACATGGTATTACTTATCCTTTAATTTCAGCTTTCTCCTTTTTATTTTGCTAACAGTACCATCAGTAAAAATAGCTTCAAATTATTTGATATCTTCTAAAAAGTATAGAACAGCATCATCTCTAGAAAGTGCTTTATCGGCACTAGGAACGATATACCAATAAAAACTCCCAGGCCGGATATTTTGGTAAGTAATAGAGATATTTTAATTCTGTAAAAGCTAGCTTATAGAGAGCTAAGAGAGCTTCAGTTTTAGATATAAATTGATTTTAAATAGCTCAATATGTAGATGGCGCTGCGTTCAATAATTTTTTTAAGCAAATTTTGTTCTATGAACTAATTCGATAAATCTAGCCATTTTTGATATACAGAGTGGGTCACTCAAAACAGTTTCATCCTGTTTTTCGGCATTAATCATTGGATTTTTAGAAAATGCTAAAACAGGTCGATTTTTATTTCAAAAAACACATTTTTACAATACAGACATCTGTCATGTGTCAACCCCCTCCCTTCCACTTCTCCAACCCCTCAATTTTAAATACGGAATGTACCATGTACGGCACATCATTAAAAAGATAATTTTAAGGGGAAGTCAGAAATATGACAGTTTATTGCGATACTTTTAATTTTAGGGCCCTCTATCGGGATAAAAAAATCTGTAACGTATTATAAAGTGTGACACTTCATTTGAAAGCTAATTTAATTACTGATTCAATGCACCAAATAACATTAATATAAATATTTCCATATTGCACTTGCAACAAAATAAAGTTAGCAATAATGTTTAAAATAATGCATGACTAATTTTCAAACTATTGCAAGTGCAATATGGATATTTATATTAATATTATGTTATTAATTAATGTTATGTGGTACATTGAATTAGTAATTAAATTTGCTTTCAAATAAGGTGTCACACTTTAAAATACGTAGTTTTTATCCCGATAGAGGGCGGTACAATTAAAAGTATCACAATGAACAGTCATATTTCTAAATTCCCCATAAAATTACCTTTTTAATGCTGTACTATACATTGTAGTATCGCACTCTATAATACGTAGTAGTTTTTTTATCCCGCTAGAGGGCGATAAAATTTAAGTAACGCAATGTACAGAAATATTTCTGAATCCCCCATTAAATTACCTTTTCAATGATGTGCCATACATGGTACATTACCTATTTAAAATTAAGGTGTGGAGAAGTACAAGGGAGGGGGTTGACACATGACAGAAGTCTGTATTGTAAAAATGTGTTTAATTTGGAATAAAAATCGACCTGTTTTAGCATTTTATAAAAATCCAATGATTAATGCCCAAAAACAGAATGAAACTGTTTTGAGTGACCCACTCTGTATATCAAAAATGGCTAGATTTATCGAATTAGTTCATAGAACAAAATTTGTTTAGAAATGCATTTTTTACCAGATCCGCTACATAAGAAAGATCCTCCCATCGAAAAAAAATTATTGAGCGCAGCGCCATCTACATATTGACCTATTTAAAATCAATTTATATCTAAAACTGAAGCTCTTTTAGTGCTCTGTGAACTGGCTTTTACAGAATTAAAATATCTCTATTAATTACCAAAATATCCAGCCTGGGAGTTTTTATTGGTACCCTGTATATGCTGCCACTGTTCTAAACGTTTATTATCCTATAAAAACATTTACAATGACACAATTGGGGTAAAAAAAAACAGTAGCAACTCTTTATCTAACATTAAAACTCTATAAAAAATAAATTTTCTTTTCTAGTAAGTTAAATTTAATGCATAATTATTGTTGTTTGTAAGTCAGCATCTATAACTGTAATATTTTATATTATAGAAACTTATAATAAAATAAACTACACTTCATAAGATACATAGTTTATAATATTATATTTAGACATGAATACATTATTTTACTTACATTAAAAGCTTTAAAAAGACATTGAATTGATTTCTTCTTGTGTTTTACATTTGATTTTTATCCTGTTTTACAATCTGAAACGACATAAATCTTGCTTTGATGTTTTTTTGTCACTCATGTTTCTTGTACTCAGGTACTTTTTTTCACATTATTTTGATTCTTTTCATCAATTCTTTAAAAAATCACTTTATTTTACATTGACTTACATAGAAAGTTGACTGCGTTGTCATTAGACATGCCAACTATTGTCAATTTCGCGAACTTTATAAAAAGAAGGACGGACATTTGAAATTTGACCATTGCCGATTCGCCTCCTTATCTCTAGTCTTCATATGATAAATACAAGTCAAATTAGTACTTTTTTCCCAATCGGCAATTTCTTATTTGACACTAGATGTTAAATCATGTGAAAAGCTTTTTGATAATTAATTTCAAACAGTTTTATCAATTTTGTGCTAATTTAAAGGGTCAACACACTAATAAGTGGGGGAGGGGGTCTAGAACCTAATGTGGCAATCTCCATTTTTAAGAATTTAGGATAATTTTAAAAAACTGTTTTTATGTTCCTGTAAAGGTTTAGGGTTGTTTTATTCATTTTTTATATTTATCGGTAAATAATTATTCTGTCTTGCATAAATATTAAAAATTCGTCACAGTTATTTTAATAAATAAGGAAAAAATGGAGATTGTCGCATTTACTTATCAGTTTGGAAGATTGCAATGTTTGATTCTAAATATGTGCGAGATTAACTAATTAACTATTACAAAATACTAAAGGGTTGTTTATATTATTATTTACTAATAGGTAAACAGATAATATAAATCAAACAATGTGGTACATAAGCAGGAAAAGTATCACTCCATAAGTAATCTGATTGGAGGTTTGGGATTTTGCCAGTTTTGGTACCAATTGGCATATGGAGATTGCCTGATCTGAAACTAACCCTGAATTTCAAAATCAAATTTTAATGTGATTTTTAAGGATTAGGTTCGTTTTTTATTTTATCACTCATGAGTATTTAAAACTATCTATATTTTTAACTCAATTTCACATAAAATGGGGATTGCTGCCTTTGGTTCTAGATCCCTCAATATTAATTTTCAAGGCTTTCATATATTTGTTAATAGTCAAATATATTTTTTTCTCTTATGTGGCGACTCCTACATTTGACAAATATAATTGTTTAAATTATGACTTGTGCAAGATTTGGAATTTTGACAAAGAATACCTATATGATCTTTTACATTTTAGGCAACAGTATACTTTATACTGGGTTGATGATTTAAACACGTAAAAAATATTTTTGTTCGACTTACTAGCTGCTATCATTATATCAATATCTAAATTTTCTCCAAACCACACAATATACGGTCTAACTAAGTGATGGCATTTTTTGCACGTAGGGAGATCTTTTTTGTCTATAAATGGCAGATTGTAATCTTCTTCAGCTGGATCTCTAAAAGATTTTTTGTCAAAATAAAAAAAAATATTATAGGAAATATAAATTCACCCTCGTCCTCTAAAAGCTTCACATATAGGATTATCATAATTTTCATCAATTAGTTTACATTTGGAATTGGTACATTTTACTTTATGTAAAGCTCCATGTAATTCAATTACGTTTTTTGATCCAGCCTTTTGATGTAGTCCATCAACATTTTGAGTTATTATTGTAAATTGTCTTCCCTGATCCTTGCATTTCTTCTCATATTCAGCCAATGCCTTATGTGCCTAAATTTAAAATAAAAACCAATATATTGATAATCAGAACTGTAATTTACTTACATTATTTGGTGTTGCATTGAATGCAATATTTCTTCTGTAATGATAAAATTCCCACACAATTGCAGGATTTGCTGCAAAAGCCTGTGGAGTTGCGAGGTCCTGAGACCTATGGGTCCTCCAGAAACCCCCGGCACCCCTAAAAACAGGAATTCCTGATTCTGCCGAGACCCCTGCACCTGTTAGAACTGCAACATTTTTTGATTCATCTAAAATTTTCTTAAATCCTGCATAGTCACTTATTTTTCGCTTGGCCATTATGTTCAAAGCAGGAAACACAAATTGTTTTAGAATGGGCATTAATTTGAATTTTAAATATTTTATCAAGGTCAAAATATAAAATCAAACTTATAAATGTTCCTATGTGACCGAGAAGATGTATGTATAAACTGAAATTGGCATAAATAAAAAGCTAATAATTTTAACTCAATAAGTCATTTAAATATTTCAAGTTTTTTCACTGTATTATTTATGTTAATTTTCAGCTTCTATTTTTTAAATAAATACATTTGTATTAATTCAGCGCACTCCATGCGCTCTCTGGTTTTCTAGACACCTCTAAGTCAGTGTTGCCACACCAATAAATTTTTTCGTAATAGAATTTTGAACCAAAAGGTAATAAAATCGTAATAGATAATATTTTAAAGTAACATAAATGTACCAGAACTATTATTAAGAACCGATTCCACCACAAAGCACGTATCTTCTAGAGACCCCACGCCAATGTTAAACTTTTAAACCAAATTGGCGCCACCTTGTGTTTGGAGCTGGAACTAAAATGACAATTGACAGATGGCGGTAAATTCAAATTGTAATTTTTAGAAGTAGGTAGTAGTTTTAAATTAAATTTTAAATGATTTCCACATAAATTATTTTATAAAATAAAGAATGGAACTAGTAAGTTCGAAACTTTTATTTTACAAAATAATTTAGGTCGATTATACCAAATTTGAGGAATTAATTTGTTATAAGCAGGGGTCTGATGTGAAGAGTTGGTTCTGCATATTATTATATAAATATAAGATATATCAATAAACAATAAAATAGAACATTCTTAAAATATGTTTATTAATAACTTAAATAATATTATTAGATAAAAATAAATACAAATAATAATACATATTTAACGAATACTTACTTGCAGCAAATAGGTATATAATCTCAAATCTTTAAAATACCTATCAATAATTTAAATGTGAAGTAGAGACTAGGATATTACATTTTATTAACACTAAAATAATATATTTTATAAATGTCTTTTAAACCGAGGACAAATGTAATATAGGTATTGTATTAAAAGGTGAATCCTTTTAACTATTCATTCAATGATAAATAGGTATTTTCCTTCCAAATACAGATGGTGGTATTACTCCACTGCTTTGTGTATTACTCTCTTATGTGAAAAATGATTTCGGAATCTAGTCCAGTGATAAATTGATTATCAATTAGTTGTTATACCCGTTTCTTTTTATGATGCAGATGCATGGTGAATCAATGAAGTTTTTCTCGAAGTTTTCAACGTAGCACCCACAGGTAGCACCAAAATTATTGCAAAACACAGTAGGTTATAACTAAGACGAAACTATAAACAGAAACCAAAGCCAACAAAAAATCACTAAAATCAGACGGAAAAATGAGATTAACCAAAAACATAAATAAATACACGTCACATCTTTGGAGTCTTTGGGTTTTTCTCCCATAAAGCTTAAAAATGGAGTAAGAAATCAGAATTTTACCAGTAGCCCCATCTAGAGTTTGGAGCAAATAGCATAAAAAATGTCAATTGTCGGTTTTGACCTTGGTCATTCACGTGGAACCTCTATGTGCTTTGTGGATTCCACCGTTGTGTTAAACGAAGTTTAAAATGACATGTTTTACATTAACAATGTCATTTTAATCTCCGTTTAACACATCGGTGGAATCGGCGCTAAATACATTTAACAATAAAACTTATTATTTAGTTAATTATTTCTGCTGCTGCAAAAGAATGGGGTAATGCTAATAAATCACAAATTCATTTTTTTAAATTTTAAACAAATGGTTCATCCAGTGAATTTTTTTATTTTAAAGAGTACATTTTTGTAATTTAATATTTCTTTAGCCTTGAAGGGGTCTACGTTATTAAAAACAATACATAAATTATGCTGAAATGCTGGAGGCTGGTGGTAATCCCCTACTAAATTAAAAACTGACCCATAAAAAATAATACAATATAATAAAGTAACGCCTATCTTGGATTTGTTGAAACAAGAAAACACAGAAATAACAAATGTATAGATTCCTAAATTTTTGTAAGTATAAGCTCTGAAGTTTAAATAGAGCCACTCATAAAATTTCGATATTTTAAAAAGTAATAGATTTATCCTCATTTCTTAAAAGTCGTAATAACGTACTGGTGTAACTTTTTAGTAATAGATTTGTTACAATTGTAATAGCAACGGCAACACTGCTCTAAGTGCGCATTGGACACCAATCAGAAAAATATTCCCTAATAGCCGTGGGTAATTTAAATTATTAAATGGTAAACGATAAATTCATTAGTTTGTGATAATATAACATAATACATTACTCATTTATATTAATCTTTATTTTTTTATCTGAATATATACATGGTTATAATTTTTTTAATTGGATATTTTTGGTTCTCACAGGGATTTTGGGATTTTTACCACTCTAGATTGGCAATACCGCTTTACTCCCTTGTTCTGTTTTTTGTGATAGATTATGTTCTGTGTTCTTCTTTTAAAAACATACAATTTAAAAAGTTTGGTTATTTCAAAATAACTATCTGTCAGGAGTGCCAGGTGTCTGTCAAATCAAATTTATTGATTTTCAAAAAGAATGGCGTCTACACATATGTTGCGACTGGGAGTCTGTTTTACTCTTTTACTTAATTTTGATTTAACATGTTGCGAAGTCAAAAAGTTTCCACTATTAATGCCCGATGTATATCCTGACAGGGTAAGTGTAACACTTTACCGTTATCACTTAGTTTACATGTATATCTTCAATTCTCAGGAGCATATAGCGTTAAATAAATGTATTATAAAGTTTACTAGGTTTTTGCTTAAGTATTACTTTTTTATTTGTTTGTTCATGTATTGTTTAATTTATTTGTAACGTAGTTTTGTAAATTAGAAACCATGACACCTACGAATATGATTTTAAGCTCATATAATTCCTTTTTGAGAAATAAATATAAAGATTTTTATGTAATACTTAAACCTAAGTGTATGCAATTAACATAACTATCTTCATTATACAATATGTTATATTGAATATTCATAGTTGACTCCTGACATTTATAAGTAGGTAGTAGGTACCTACTGGTTTTGATTCTAAAAACACAAATAAAGCTGCATTGAATAAAACAATTACCTACTTTAATACTTATTTGTCTTAGAAAAGCATATGAGTTAGACTTATCTACAGTACTTAAAATTTAGTCTACATTAAAAGTTTTATTTTGGAAATTATTTTAACATTCATACTATTTTCTATTCAAATTTGTCTACCAAGCAGTAATATATTAAGAAATATAAATTGTGTCCTATCTATTATTTATTATATCTATTATTGCAATTTCATGGCTGATTATTAATCTATAATGAACATATTAAACCTTTTTCTAATAATTCTTTGCCAGCTGTGTAGTACATTTTTAATAATACATAATTCATAAATGGATAGGATAACAAATAAATATTCATTTAATAAGATTAGATAAAAGATTAATAGTGTAGTAGTTTTTAACTATTAGGTATATTCATTTGCTTACTTAGTTATTGAAAATGAAATAATTTTAATTGAATTAATGTAGATATTCAACACTATTGCTGCACAACCATGCTTTTGTACTTAATATACGAGGGTGATTTGACAGAAGAGTGACTTTTCAATGAAAAAGTTACTTTACTGTAAAAAAATATTTTATTTTTTGACATAATTTCTTTTTAACTCTACACACTTAGCCCAGCTAGTTTCCAATTTTTTCAAACCATCCAAAAAATAATCTTTCAAATGTTCCGCAAAATACACGTTTGTCTCTGCCTTACCTCTACATTTGTCTAAAATCGCTTTCCACCAAGCCTTTTTTTTAAGTTTGGGAACAGAAAGTAATCGGAGGGAGCCAAACTCATTTCTTTATAAGTGTTAAAACCTTAGATGTTAAAACTAATCTGGCTGTCAGACAGGGTTGCCAACTTTTCAAATTCCATTTACCGTACCGTGCAATTCAAATTACCGTACATAGCCTCCCAGTACCCTACACTTTTATTTTGTAAAAAAAACTATATTGTGTAAATCTTTTTATCAGGTTTCTAAAAAAAGGTCCTCATCATATTATTTTAATCATCCGCTGGTCTCTCTACCTAGCTTTTTAAATTAGACAATGGCATTTTTAAATTAGACAATGGCATTTTTAAATTGGACAATGGCATTTTTAAATTCGAGAGACGCTAAAATGGTGGTTCTCATCTTATCGAGACTGGGTCCCACAAGGGCAAACTCGTAGCGTAACAAAAACGAGAAATGATTTAACTTGGAACGAAATACCGAAAGCCGATAGTAGTATTAGCATGTTGAATTTTTTGGTTTGTGAAGCATTGGCATTACTTAGGTCAAACCATGTGATGATTTTCACAAGCCTTGATTTCTAAAATCATTCTATATCGCCTTTTGATTAGGGTTTAAAAACTTGTTCAAGCAATTTATCCAATAATAATTGGCCCCTTTACCTCTTAAGCCTGCTCATGTAAAATTTTTGGGATTCTTACTTCGCCTATTTATATTCTATTAATAAAGGACAGAAAGATGAGTATTGCAACTATGTTAAAAGAAATAAATTGGCTTTCAGTTCAGAATTATGTTCAGTACATGACTGATATTTATTTATAAAATAAAAATGACATAGTACCATCACATCAGATCTATTAGAAAAAATTCTATATAATTTGCAATATCACAACTATAATATAAGAAACCAATCTGACTTTCATGTACGGCAAGACATCACTAAAAGTTCCCAAAATACAATTTTTATTAAAGGTTTAAAAAATGTAATAGACTGCCTACAGAAATTAAAAAAAAAACAATAAATGTATTCAAAAGTAACCTCAAACAATACTTGATAAATAAACAGAACGCATACTTTCTTGTGATAATACTCTTTAAACCTGCTCTTTTTAAGTATTTCCCTTAATTTATTGTTATTTTACCCCTCGTTTTATCCGCATTTATTATAGATTTGTTTTGAGATCATGTACTTTATTTTAAAAAATTACTTGATGTTATATTAATACCACTTACTATGTTTAAATTATTAATAGTTTTGCGAAGATAGGTTATAGCAACTTATAGCCACAAAACTATTTTTGTGTTAAAGTAGATCCATAGAGAGCAATGTAATTTACAAAGGCCTTCTTTCAACATACAAATAAATGACAACTTTATAATTAAAATGAAAAACACAACAAAATACCTCGGTATCATAAATGATCCAAATTTGAAATGGGCATTATATCCTACCTCTCTTTTATATAATAAAAAAGTGCTTTGTATAAGAACATTATATTATCTGTCTTGCTGTACCTTTATTTATGGAAAGCCTGAATTGAGATATTTATTATTTGCAATAAATATCAGAAGAAGTATACATTTTTAAATAATTTGACATTTAAGAGCCATTCACATATCACAGTTGACATCTTGATACTTGACAGTAGGGATGGGTAAAAATAATCGATATATCAAAATATCGATATTTTTTTATAAAATTTTCGATAAATATCGTCGATATTTTTTATTCTTCATTAATCGATAATCGATAATTATTTTCGAGTATCGAATTCGATATATTTTTTAATTAAGTTAGTATAAGGTTTGTTCCAACAGCAGTACAGAACCATTCGGAATTTATCTGCGCATGAGTATTATGAAAAAGAGAATAGTTAAATCTTACTGCTCATGCGCAGATACATTCAAAACGGTTCTGTACTGCTGTTGTAATATACCTATAATATGTTGCCGCGTTTGAATATCCACATCCGATGCATTTTTTACATCTCGAGCGTTTGTTTATCCACATCGGACACATCTACTACATCTACATCTGCATTTGTTTATCCGAGATGTACCTGTCCAGATTACATTTTTTACATCTCGATTTGAAATGAGATGTGAATGAGATGTTCGTTCCATGCCAGAAAGTAAGTGTTCTGTGAAGCAAAGTTTGTCAATTTATCCTTTGTTTAAGCATGAAAATAAAAGTGGTTATAGTTTGTTTAATTTATGTTTAGATTTCAAATTTAGGTTGATTGGTAGTCTCAAAATACAAATTTAAAAAGTATAAACTTCTAACTTGTCATTGTGATTTTATCACTTGACCAATATAGTCTAGAACGTTTGTTTATTACATCTACATCTATCACGTGATAGAAAATTCACATCTCAGATGCATCCGATGTGGATATTCAAACGCGGCATGTGTATCTGGGGGGCTATTTTCAAACTCGAGAGAATTCATTTTTCTCAAGAGAAATGTCATACGTCAACGTAAAACCGTATTTTTAGGGCTCTTAGGGCCAGTGTGAACTCACTGACTGTTTCTCTCGGTTTATTTAGAGAGAATTAAAATCATCCTAAGAATTTTAATCCTCGATGTCTTTAAATACAGCGTTTCCACATTGACGTATGACATTTCTGATGAGAATCTTGAGAGAAATGAGTGCTCACATACTTTGAAAATAGGTCCCCTGTTGTTTGTGGTGACTAGTGATTTTAGTGTCAACTGTCACGTGTGACGAAGTGTATTTGTAATGGCGACTTGAGGCGGTATCTCCAATGAGGTGGACTTTTTTGATTTGATTAAAATTGTTTCATTAAATAAAATAAATACTTATTTTCTACATGTGTATTCATTATTTGTGAATTGAATGTTTTGGTATCACTTTTAGGTCACCAAACACGCTTTTACAAAAATGTCGATATATCAATATATCGATATTTTTTACTTGATAATAATCGATACAGATTAAAAATATCGATTCGATATATATCGATATTTTTTTTCACTTGCCCATCCCTACTTGACAGGCACAGCCAAGCATTATTTTGATTTTTGCCAAATAAAATAGCCGGTTAATTATTCTATGGGGTTGCGACAGAGAACCAGTAAATTTGATGAAGGTGTTTTTGTGGCTAGGGGCGAAATAGTAGTACGCTTAATAGCACCACCATAAAAAGTAATTTTTAAGAAACTGCTTATATATTTTTCATAAATTGACAGGCTTTGCGACTAATTTCGAATGAAAATAGCCTCCAAAATGGCTATATGGTTGCAAGAATGAAGGTCGCAACCCGCCTTAGAAATTTCACCTTTACTATCAACAGCTGTTGTTTGACAGGTCATTAGAGAATGTTTGCAATTTATGAAATGTGAAGAATGTTAGGAATTTTGAATTAGGTCCACTTTACATTATGCTTAATTTATAACTTAATTTAATTACAAATTTAATTATAAATTTAGGATGTTATTTATAAGCGTGTAAAACATATAAATTTGCAACCTAAATTATGTTATAAATTATGAACCAAATTTTTAGGATATGTTCTATTTTCCATCACAAATCAACTCGTAAATATGCGCACAAGTGACAATTTATTATTAGGGGTTATGTTTTAAGTTTTGGGCGTGGTTCTGTTTTCTGTTTTGGTTTTGTTCTCACTGTAGTTGGAGTGTGATTATTTAAATTGTTTTAACTTCTTTGAAAATGTCTTGGTCAAGACAACAAGTGGAAGAATTAATTGATGCCTATTTTGAACATCCGTGTTTATACAATGTGCATTTAAAGTTGTATCACAACAAACATGCACGAAATGCTGCATTAGAAATTATAAAAGAAGCATTATCTACTGTAAGGCCAGGCATAACAATTCCAGAAATAAAAAGCAAATGGAATGGATTGAAAACTAATTTTTCTACGGAACATAAAAAAATCCAACAATCTCAGACAAGTGGAGCAGGCACCGATGATGTAAGTTATTTAGTAGTGAACTTTCTTTTGTTGTACTTAGTATTTTCGCAGTCTCATTCATAAACATTGACAATTTAAATTTATATTTCAGATTTATACTCCATCCATTTGGTATTACAATAAATTAAGTTTTTTATTGGATTATACCAAACCAAGGAAATCTATGGATTCAATTTCGGATCAAGTAGAGAGTGATGTTTTACATGGAGAGATATGCGAGGAGGAAGAAAATATGTTCAGTCAGTTTTCAGCTCACTCTGATATAATTATTGAGTATGAAAATGATAGTCAAATAGAATCGTACAGCTCCGAACGAACTGATGCATCATCAAAACCAAGTACATCAACTAAAATGCAAACTCCTAAGACTACTCAAGTACCACGAAAAAGAAAGAAAATTGAAATAGATGCTGCAACAGATGCAATGCAAAATATTGCCTCTATTTTAAAAAATAAAAACAGGCCAGAAAAAAAAAGTGAAAACAATGAATATGCACAGTTTGTTGTTAATAAACTGGATCAAATAACAGATGAAGATATTTTGTTAGAAACTGAGGAAGAAATTAACAGCATATTATATAATGCTATTAAAAAATGTAGGAAACGTAAAAATTAATTGTTATCAAACTTTTTAAATATGCTAATTTTTGTAGGTAATGTTTAAGTATAATAGTTTTTTTTAATAGATTGTAAAGGATTAAATAAATAAGAGTAGGATTTTGTTTTTAATATTTTGTTTTAATTTAACCCCTTACAAATTATGTTTATTTATCGATTCTTCTTGCCAGTCAACTTGTCCAATTGCTGAATTAAAATATTTTTTATATTCTTCTCTAGTTGCCCTTGCAATGTTTGAGGATTTGTTTCCAAATTGATTTAGTGCTTTTTCTAAGGTACATGGAACTTCATTTTTATTTTGGGTATAAGATTTACCGTTTATTGTGCATAAATAGTTATGCAATATAACACAAGTTAGGGTAATTTTTTCAACTTTGTGTGCTGCAAGATTTATAGGATTCAATAAAACCCTAAACCTGTTTACTAAAATCCCAAACATGCTTTCAATCATTCTACGAGCTCTTGATAGTCTGTAGTTAAAGATTGTTTGATCATGATTGAGGCCTCTTTGAGGAAATGGCTTCAGCAAATTAGGAAGCAGAGGAAATGCATCATCAGCAATTATGACATATGGTACTTTTTTCTGTCGACCTGGCAAACATTTTTCCTCAGGAAAATTCAAAGAATTTGTCCTTAATGCATTTGACAATTTGCTTGCATTAAAAACACCTCCATCACTAATTCTTCCATTTATGCCAATATTGACATACAAGAATTTGTAATTAGCATCTCCTAAACCTAACAAAACAATACTATGTCTGCCTTTATAATTAAAAAAATATGACCCATCTGCTATTGGAGGTCTAAATGTTATGTGCCTACCATCAAGGGCACCCAAACAGTTAGAAAATTGTCAGATATTTTCATAATCTTTAGCTACTTGTTCCCATTCCTCTACAGTAGTAGGTACCTACAAAATATAATTTTTAATTTATAAAACAAAAAATATACCTATTTTTCATATCAAGTCTTATATGTACAAATATATACTAACTTTAAGGTATGATGGGCCTAGGTTTTTAATAATGGCATCACAAACCACTGGTATAAATAAAGAAATTGTGCTTTCATGTATTCTGCTGCTGTACATTAGAGATCGAAAAGACTCTCCAGTCGCCAAAAAGCGGAGGGTAACTTCTACTCTGTAAAAATAACTTAATGTAAAATTATATCAAAAGACAATATAACTCACTTCTTACTTGCTGCGTACATGAATCGCATCCCTCATAAAAGTATCTTCTTTTCTCAGGTCAATTTCAATGAGACTAATCAAAAAATCCACTTGATCTGCACACAATCTAAGAAAATTTTGATAACTCTCTGGGTCTTCAACTTTTAATTCGGAATTTAACATGTGCAAGATTCCTCTACCTTCCTCCCGTCTTTGTAGCCATGAGCGACACCACAACTTTCGATTCCGCTTTTTCTTTTGTTTCTTCTGTACAAATTTATATAAATAAATTGCCGTAGCTGTTAGTAACAAATCTTCATCATCCATTATTAAAATAAGTAATCATACTAGACGTTTACCACCTCTCCACCTACCAAAAAACCTGTCAACTTCATTCTCTGCTCTAAATTTATAACTAAATTAAGTGCAAGTGTAATATTAGCACTTCTCATTACAGTTTTGTTACTAAATTTAGTTTACAATAACTACCTTTACACGTTAATAATTTTATTCACAAATTTAGTATTAAATTTAAAACTAAATTTGAATTCAAATTAAGCACAGTGTAAAATGGACCTTAGAAATAATTGAAATTCCTAAAATAATCACATAAGGAATGCATAGGCGGATTTTAAGAAAATTGTTATTAAAGGATGAACCAAAAATTCTGAAAATCAATAGGGTTCTAAGTTAGAAGTAATTATTCAAGAAAATCAAAACCGCAAGTCAATCAGAACTTTCGTTCTAGAGTTATCGTGCCGGCATACATACAGACGACCAGACGAAATTTTTTTTTTGGATTTTCGGATTCATATGATCAGAAACATGAAAAAAAGTTTTAAAAAATGGGAGTCAGAAAATTTTTTCGACTGCATGAATGCAATACTGAGGCCCCATAGGAAGTAATTTAATGGTGTCAGTCCTTGCACAACTCAAAGTCTTTGCTAATTCATTCTGTTGAAAATACCGTACTTTTTATGTAAATACCGTACTAGTATGTAAGGTAATGACTTTGGACCGTATACCGTACATTAATCGAAATTACCGTACATTAATCGAAATTACCGTACATTAATCGAAATTACCGTACATTAATCGAAATTACCGTACGATTGGCAACCCTGCTGTCAGATTTATGTAAAATTTTGACAGATGACAGAAACATGGCGGAAACTACCAATATAATCACTGTAGCGAAAGTGTTGCCAACCTCTGAAAAGTTACTCTTTTGTCAAACCGCCCTCGTGTATGAATATTTAAAACTTTTCATAAAATAGAACAAAAGATTTCCAAACAAATGTTACTCAGCAATAAAGAAAGGAATGCTTTTATAAAAAAATCTCTGCACTGTATTTTTCTGTTTCCTCTATATTGTATGTAGGATATGTAAGATTTCAGTTTCAAAAATCCTAAAAAATGGCAGTTAAATGCTTCTCCCTTTAAGCAACCTTATATCACAGCAGGCGCACTCGATAAGAAATCCTTTGATCTTAGTAAGTGAGGTTTCTTCTGCTTCAATCATAATTCTGGTGCATATGCACAGACTTTGTTCTGTATAAAAGATGCTACATGACTGACGTTGAGCATCCGGAGAATATGGCGAATCGCTTGCTTAGGATGCTGTCGGCACACTTATAGTTTTATGAGGAGTGCGCCTGCTGGTTCATCTTTATGCTGTGATTATATATTATTTTGTATCCTTTTATATATCTTTATTTTTTTTATAAACTTTAGTGTTTTTGTTTAGGATGAACTATATTTATGTACACCTGTTAGAATCGTGGATGAAAAAAGTTTTTATATAGGTAAGAGTTAATTAGAAATATGATATATAAGTATGCTTTTTGTTCATAATTTCATTCAATTATTTAATTTTTTATTGAAGTAAAGTTGTAATAAGCATTTTAAATATCGTCTTAAAATTTGATCCATTTATTTCATTATACATTTCTAATTTATTTTTTTTAGTGGGATTTGATCCCAATGCTACAATGAATGTTGCTCATCATATGTTACTTTTTGGATGCAACACTCCTGGCACTACTGAAGAAGTTTGGTAATATTTAATAATTATTATATGTAATGATAAAATAATTTTGTTTCATTTTAGGGATTGTGGGGAAATGGCTATGTCAGATAAGAGCAGTAACTTAAAAAAAGCTATTCCATGTGCTGACGGCAATCATGTAAGACTTGAGTATTAGAAATTAGAATTTTTGAATATTGCATTGAAGTATACTTTTTTAAAGTAGAAAATTAATTGTTGCATACACTGGCCCCCGATGCCATAAAAAAAAAATATGTAAAGTACGAATCGACTTAGAAAAGCCACAGCGTCATAAATGACAAAAACCACAATAATTTCCTTCTCTCTCAGGTCCATCCCATTTATGAGTCAGTGGCGTTTTTAACGATCGTTTGGTATTCTTAATATATAAATATGTGCTAAAGAGACTGACAACCCTGCATGACTGTCCCATGATCCAAATTAGAATTCTAACGGAAGCAGTCATTTAAACATGGATCCCTTATTAGATAGATTAAATAGATAGATAAATTTATTGATCTTTTTCTATCATTTACATGACATAAGACAAGTCACAAACATAGTATACTCATGAGGTACAATAAGTTGATAAATAATAAGCTAAAAATTACATTAATAGTTAACAAACATTTAGTACAGAATAAAAATAAAAAATAAAATTACAGAATTAAATTATGAGACCGATAAAGTATTATTAAAATTAGGTCTTATTGTTCCAGTCAATAAATTCGTCTAGACAATAAAAACAATTTTCAGTTAAAAACAACTTTAAACTGGTCCTGACTTTTTTAAAATATGTTATTTCTTTAATTGAATCTGGTAGCAAATTAAAAACTCCTCCAGCATACATTGGAAACTTTTTTAGTCGAAATAGATTGAATCTGTTTGGGTGGATATCACTTTTATTTCTCGTGTTATAATTATTGACTTCACTATTTTTTTGAAACTTATTCTTATTAAGAAAAGTGTAGGTTAATAGTTTGAAAAGATAGATGCATGTGTAGGTTATGCTGTTATTATTTTTAAATGTATCTCTACAAGATTAGTTTAAAATTAGGGGAATGAATCCCTTTTGAAGGAGGGATATTCGTCCAATTTCTCACACAATTATATTGCAGCTGATGGCAGAGTATACAGGGTGTCCCAACGAAAAGTACCCACCCTAAATAACTGCGGAGGTAATAACTTTCTAAAAAGTGGTGAAATACGTGGATCTTGATTTTAAAGGGAAATATTTTACCACAATACTTGTGTACATAACGTCGCCCCCTTAAAAAATTTAAATTGCAAAGTGGGTCGAGTGATACCTCTTTTAAAAGATCTTTGAATTCTCTTTACAATCGTCTACATTTAAAATGGATCAATGGGTTTGTGCAAATAACTGTTTTAATAATTTTGAATTTTAAAAATAAGAAACGAAATTAAAATGACAACTTATTTCTTCAACAGATGATTGTTGGAATTACCCAAATACACGACGCTGGATAGCTCATCAACTAATTGTTATTAGAAAGTTATTTAGGTTGGGTACTTTTCGTTGGGACACCCTGCATAAATGTATAATACAAGTTAAGTAGGTGAGATTGATAAACATTTTATTTCTAATTATAGAAAAAAAGTAGAGTTTATTAAATTTTTTACAGAGAGTCAATTTGATTGCTAAAATTTAGTATGGAATCCAATTGCATTCCAAGAAATTCAGTGTGTTCCACAGTCTTAAACTTGCTATTATTTAATGTAAAAGTTATGTTGTTACCTTCCTTAAGTGGAGATGTGAATTGAATAAAAATGTTTCTTTTCTTTTTCATTGAAAATGATATGACTTTTTGACACCAATGAATGAACGCATTCATGGTTATTTGTATTTTCTTAAGTAACTCATCTAAACTGTCTAGACTAGTCGCCCAGTACGCGCCCTGAGAGCATACGCTTGCTAAATTGGCTAGTTAAATTATTGTGTATTGTTACGACCGTGACACTTCGAATCTGGTGGTCAGAAGCGGAGGTAGTGCCCTCTATCGCTAAGAGATGGCGCTAGTAGTACTTTCTAAATCGCAGTAACAATTAAATATTCGTGAATTACCTCAGTGGTTCGAGAAAGTTCTGGTGTATTCTACTCACTTCGAGATGGCAGTAATTGGAGTATAAAAAGGCTAGCGGTGCGACCGCGAGTCAGTCTGTCTAGGGAAGGCGAAGGAAGCGAAACTGTCTGTTGTGAAATAAAGTAGTTGTGAGTAACCACGGTTAAAAGACATCTTCGAACCGATCAACGCCCTTACTTAACAGTGTTATGATTTGACTTGTTTTTGTTTGTGATTTACTAGTATGGAAAAGAAGCGAAAAATAGACACCGAATGCAGAACATTCAAATATCAATGGAACTTTCAATATTTCGTCATTGAGTCCAGTAATAAAGCGCTATGTTTGATTTGCAATGAAACCATAGCCGTTCTCAAAGAATATAACATTAAACGTCATTATAAAACGAAAAATTACTCAAAATATACAGGAAGTATGTGAACAGAAAATTTGAAGCTTTGAAGCGCGGATTGAAATCGCAGCAATATTTGTTTATGAAATTCAAAATTGAACAAGAGGCTGCAACTTGTGCCAGCTTTCGTATGGTTCTTGAAATCGCAAAACGTGAAAAACCATTCGCCATTGGAGAAAGCGTAATTGCAGTAGCCGAAGAAATGTGCCTCGAAAAGGTAAATTTATTTAAAACTATCAATTTGTCAGCAAACATCGTTGCTCGGAGGGTACAAGACATCGCAGAAAATATATCGTTCGACAAAAATAGACATCTCGAGTGGTTTTCTCTGGCCTTGGATGAATCAATGGATGTGTCAGATACTGCTCAGGTGTTAATTTTTATTCGAGGAGTAGATAAAAGCTATGAAGTGTATGAAGAACTTCTTGATATTGATAGTATTCATGGCACGACTACTGGGGAAGATATTTTTAGGGAGTTGAAAATGCTATTAATAAAAAGAATCTTCGATGGAAAAACTTGAAATCTATTATTACAACTGATGAAGGCAAAAATATGTGTGGTAAAAATAAAGGAGTGGTTGCACTTGTGTTAAAGGCTGTAGACAATGATGGTGGTTCAAAACCATTAGTCTTACATTGTATCATTCATCAACAGTCCTTGTGCGGAAAATGTTTGGATATGTCTGAAGTTCTAAAACCAGTCATATCAGTTGTTAATTTCATCAGATCCACTGGGCTGAATCACCGACAAATCAGCAAGTTTATTAAAGAGATGAGAGAAAATGACTTACCATATCATACTGCCGTACGCTGGCTTGGTTTGCGGAATAGTCCTTCAGCGCTTTTTTGAACTTCAAGCAGCGATAGAAATTTTTTTGAATGAAAAGCTTCGACCTCTTACCGAATTACAAAATAGCTAATGGCTGTGGAAATTAGCATTCTATGTCGATTTGACAAAACATATGAACGAACTGAATTTGAGATTGCAAGGAGAAAACCAGCTTCTCCCCGATTTATATACTAATATCAAATCGTTCCGGCAGAAAATAATACTGTTTCAATCACAATTACGTAAAAAATATTTCACACATTTTAAAACATGTGAAATATTCAGCCACACTACTGAGACTGAGTTTCCCATCGATTTTGTAATCGAAGCTTTTAGTGTTTTGAAGATAAATTTTGATACTCGTTTCTCAGACTTTGATGTCTTTGCGAATGAAATTAAGATTTTTCAAAATCCTTTTAATACTGACATCACGGGCTGGATTGATGACACTGGCGGGCGGATTTGGCCCGCGAGCCGTAGTTTGGAGACCCTTGGTCTAGACCACTTGATGTTTGTCACAGTATATTGCAGTATGTATTGGTTTGCTATATGATAATCTCAAATTAAACATTTGAAATAATGTCAAATAGCTGTTTTTTATAGTAACAATTTTCCCTAAAATCAATGTTGAAAGTCGCCACTAAGGATAATGAATGTATACTTAGCTGTAATGTAAGTTAGAGTATCAGTTAGCTGATCAAGAAAGATCTGTGGATGATAATTTGTAGAAGAGCTACGGTACACGGTTATAATACACAGTTTTTTGTTAACTTCAACTGATTAGTTAACGAGGTTACTTATGTTAGTACATGATTCAAAAAGTTCTGATTTTACAAATATAGCTGTGCTACCGAGTATTAGATTGCTACGTGAATAACTAGAAACTAGTTTATAACTTGAAATTTTGAAAGCTTTTAATTTGTCTTCGCACATTCAGTGCTCAGAAACACATCCAAATATTGGTTGATTCATGTCACAGTACAATTCTAAAATATTGATTTTATTGGCTAAACTTTGGATATTTATGTGAAGTAATTGATACTTATCAGTTTCGTTTTCATTTAGGATGAAGTCCGAGTTATAGGTGAGGCTGGTTTCTGAAAATTTCCTTTTAACTGGTTGGAAATGTTTTTTCTTGGTTGAGGTTGAGAATGGTAAGAGGAGTAGTCCAGAAACCGTTGACCTTGCGTGAAGTTTGTAGAGAAGGATCAACTCCTATCATGAAGGCTTCGACGCAGCCGTTACGACGCGAGGATATTTCGACGCCGGCTGTTTCGACGCCGGGCCGTTTCGACGCCAACTGTATTTTTTTTAGATAGATAATAATTCATACAAAATAATATATTTGAAATGTCTCTTTTAATTTTATTATTAAGAATGCATAATATAATATGATATTGCTTTTAAATATTCCTTTATATTTGTATTTTTATAATGGATAACGATTTTTGAAATCCTCTCGTCACAATCGCGATGTTTTTTAAATTTCCATATCGTTGGATTATCCATGGACATGGACAAGTCGTCTGTGTGCAGCTTCGGCGTGGTTGTTCGTTCTGTCTGTACCCTCCAAAACGCGGTTGTAGACAGACCACAATGTGATCGGAAAGAGTGGATTGCGCCTTCTTCGACCCTGTCGTTGAGGACGTCCTACGTATGAGTCCTCGAACCATTCTATTAGAGGTTGCAACTCGTTAGACAATTTTCAAAATAAATGGTCGATATAAATATCCATGTCTTCATCAGGAACAAATGCCAAAGATGTCACCATTCGTGCATGAAGACTGAAATCAGCATCGGTATTATATCAACCCAGCAAATTCATTTGCACCAAATGTTTTTTCATGTTTTTCACCAAATTAAAAACAACCTAGCAGCTCTGCATTTGGAAACTCTTCTTTGAAAGCGTTTATGGCACCCAATTCAAAATCGCATGAAATCTTCTCCGGATTTGCAGCTGGCTGTAAATGTCCCACCATACCAATCATTCAGGCATATGTAGTTTGCCGTTTTTTGGGCAGGAGAGCATAAAGAACAGATACCTAAAATGGGTTAATAAACTACTTAATATAATATTATGTATCAATTATTAATATTTAGGTAATTCATTAAAAATCTTTTTAAGTACCTAATTTTTAGGGATTAATTTTTTATGCCTTTCATAGAAATGAGAACATAAGCCAGCTAATGGTTACACATTTACTGCAGCTATCTATCAATGCTTACTGCGAATATTTAAGGAACAAGATAAATTACCCAATTTTATACAAAGAATAGATCTGCAAAAAAATAGACATTTCAAATATTTTTTTTGAATAATTTATTACCTACTTAAAAAAATTTACATTTGGCGTCGAAACGGCTCGACGTCGAATCGGCCGGCGTCGAAATGTCCTCGCGTTGAAACACCCGCGTCGAAACGGCTGCGTCGAAACGTCCCATTCCGCGGCGTCAAGGACTCGTGACACGAAAAGCCAGATTTTCTTCTCAGTTTTATCTACACCCTGAACATTTTCATCCCCATCTCCACTGCCTATGTTATGATTACGAGTTTTCCTTGTTTTCTTTTTTACTGAAATAAATCCTCCTTTATATTCAGATGGGTTACTATTAGCTTTATTTATTAATGGTGGTAAGGATTTCTTTCTTGTCTCACTGTCATTGACTAAGTTGATTATCTCATTTAGTTTTTGTTCAGTTTGCACTCTCATGATTTCAGCACCAGACTGCCAGTACCAAACTGTGAGTCCCTCTTCGATATTGTCAAACCTTTACTTAGGAACAAAAATATGGTAATCTTTTAAAAATTCATTGCTAGCAGATCCGAAACTAACAAAACCGACAGGAACTATACCGCATTTTTCAAGAAAATAAATTTCACTTTCCCACAAGATACAAATTAGATGAACTGTTACAACACGTTTACTACGTTATTATCCAGACCTAAACCCGATCGAAAATATCTGGGCGTTAATATATAATAATTTGGTAGCAGCACACAATACAACATTTAAACTTGCTAATAAGGAGCCACTGTCCAAACAAAAATTTGAGGAGGCATCGGAAGAAGAACATTAAAAAAAAATGAAGATGAAGTGACTGACATTCAAAAAATAATGTTAATTTCAATTGAAACCTTAGCAAAGGATAAAGAAATCTGTGAAAACCAGTTGATAGACCTGAAATCGTCACTTTGTCATTCAAAACACCGAATGACCGCAACTACATCTGACTTAGAGCCAGAGAAGAGCAGTTTCTGATAGCGAATGTTTTTTTATTTACGATCAAAGATAAAATATTGTATGCAACATGCACAAAAAGTTTTCTTATTGACATGGCTTATTATGCCTCTATGCAATAAACTGTCCCTTTTTGCACTGGGAGCGAAAGGACATCATTCTTACACATAAGTTCCAGTGAAAGTATTAGTTGAGTTTATCAGTGCAGTCAGTAAGACATGAACATTTTTCATATATCGTAAAGGATTTTTGTATATAATGTGTCGAAAAATGCCTGCACCTTATACATTTTTTGATTGTAATCCTGATAAAAATTAGTACATGAAGAAACTACAAACTTCATATATATTAAAAACTTAGAACCATATACGATGGTGGTAAAAATAAAAAAAAAGGAAATTAGGTCAAAAGTAAAGAGCCTTTAGTTTATTTTTAAAAACAGAGAAAAATGTTACTTGAAAAACTTGTTTAAAATCATTATTTATTAGCAAATATGAAAAATCACAACTACCAGTCGAAAAACGAAAATATCCTTTACTATATACGAAAAATTTAAATTTTTTAATGACTAATACTATCGCTAGGACGAATGATGTTCGTTTGCTACAGTTACGTCTGGCCTTATAATGATAGACCCGTTGGATGTGTCAGGCTATTCACATTTACTGATAAATAATTATTTTAAAGTAACATTTTTCTCGGTTTTAAAATAAGGACTCTTTACTAGTGATCATTGACATTTTTCTTACCTCTCTCGTATATGGTTCAAATGTTTTAATATGTATTAAGTTTGTAGTGGCTTTTATGTCATGTAGTAACTTATCAATTATAACATTTTCTGAGAAATTAACAATAAAAACATTTTCTATAAAGTTCACACATTTTTCGATACCGCCCCGCGAAAAGTGTCAGGCAATTGTTGATTGGAGATTATATTATCATTCAGTTGAACATGTTAAAAAATTTGCTTCCATACTATAACGTTTTTGTCCGACATTTTTTATTACCTTGAGAACCTGTTATCTAGTCAATTAATCAATATTAGTAAATGTTTAAATCGTTAAAGAGTAACTTTTTATAATTTTCAATCCAATGAATGTTATGTGGTGCAAACTGCTTTCTTATTTAAATAAGAGCCTACACCACTGCATATCGATCTGGAGCAACGGAGAAGGAATATTTTAAAGTGAGGCAAATGGTGACTAGTCGATGACACCTGTGGCTTTTTTTAGTTGATTTGTTTTTTTGAATTGAACATTACATGTATGATGATTATATTTCCCAAGCTAATGAAGGGACGCATTATTAAATTTTTGAAAGAATTTTTGATAAAATTTTCAATGAGTGTAACAGTTTGGACGTTTTTCGATAGTTTATCAGTCTAAGATTTAATTTTAATTAGAAAGACCTGAACGAAAATAAATGAACAAATATTCCTTTAGAAGCCTTATATTTATCCAATTTAAACTGATTTATAACAAATTGTATAGGTATAGGTAGATACCATTAAATTTGATTATTGTTTAACCAATTTTAGGTACTATATGCTTGGGCTAGGGATGCCAAAACTTTGGAGTTACCTGAAGATGTAGGATTCCAGGTTGGCAAAGGAACAGATATTCAGTATCTAGTTTTACAGGTTCATTATTCTAAAGGGTTTGAAGGTAAAAATAAATAAAAGTTGTATATATTATATATTTTATTGATTGGGTTTCATAATGAAAATATGTGTATATTTTTAATTTTGGATTTCAAGGTTTGGGAGATCACTGAAATTTCTTTTAACTACAACTAAAAACTGGTCTGTTATGAAGCAATTTTAGATGATTGACACTAATGAAAAAATCATTTTTATTTACAAATATATAGGAAATTGTTAAAAATTTTATAGAAATATTTTTAAGTTACTTATTCAAATTATTGTAGGTGTGACAAAACAGCTCCGAAAAATACTGCTGATTTTTGATAACCGTTGAAATATATCTAGTTTATTTTGCAGCAATTTTATTCACAGTTCAGAAAGCAGAAAACAGAGTTAAAAGAGCATACATTGCTTATGAACAATGCCGCCGTACTGTGGGACGCACCTGGGGTTTCTCCCCCAGAGTCGTCGCATGGACTTACACGGCTATCTTAAGACCTATGTTAATATACGGTGCAGTTGTTTAGGTACCGAAAACCCAAAAATTAACAGCTATCCGTAAACTAGAACAAATTCAAAGAACAGCATGTCTCAACATAACAGTCATGAAAACAACACCGACTAGAGCGATGGAAGTCATTCTTAGTCTCACTCTCCTTGATATTTACATCAAGGAGGTTGCTCTGACGACAATGACACGCCTCCGCACGGTCGGAATAGAACCTGATGTAGGATCTGGTGAGGCGAGACGTCGCTTTTGGCAGGAGGCGCTCGATACGCTCCCACTGCTTCAAGCGAACATGGACTCCATCTCACCGAGATATATCTTCCATAAGCCATATAAAGTTATAATAGAACAAATAGAAGAGCCAGAAGTGACAAGTACGATTCATATCTACACCGACGGTTCTAAAACAAACCAAGGCTCAGGATGCGGAATATACTCCAGATTCTTAAACCTAAAATGGGCTGTGAGCAATAGTGCCAGTGTAGTTCAAACAGAGCTAACGGGGATTCTCATAGCAGCAAAAGAAATAACCAGAAATAATATCACTGGAAGGAACATGCTCATCTATACAGATAGCAGACAAGCACTACTCACCCTGAACAGACCACGAATTTATTCAGGGTTAGTACTAGAATGTCATGAAGCTTTGGCCGAAGTATCCATCAACAATGTGGTCACCTTAAGATGGATCAAAGGTCACGCCACATCGAAAGGTAACCGTCTTGCCGATTCACTAGCCAAGAAAGCAGCCAACCAAATACTTTTTGGACCTGGCCCTTCTATTGGCCTGACAAAATCGGTAGTGACAGACCTAATTAAAGAACATTCCCTTGTGAAATTAAAGGAAAGATGGGATGAAACAAGAAACTGCAGAGTTGCCAGGGAGCTCTTAAGTTATCCTGACAACACTGCAGCAAACAAATACCTGACTATGACTAGACAGAATCTGCGTCTGGTCACAGGCATTCTGACTGGTCATTGCCAAGTACGGAAGCATCTCCATATCATGGGGCTGTCAGAATCCGCACTCTGCAGAGCGTGCGAACAAGAAGATGAGACCATCGAGCATATCCTTTACGATTGCCCGACGCTCTCATTTATTAGAAGATTTGTGTTCGGCGAGTATCGGCTAACACCGGCCGATATAAGAGAAGCACCTCTTGGCGACATTGTCAACTACATTAAATCTGTAGGCTGGCTGACGAGCTAGGAGGTGCCTATTATCTTAGGAGGATGCCGTGGGGGTAACCCACCCTCCACACGTTACAGATACAGAAGCTATATATCTCTAATAGTTCAGATAAATTAGATTATATAATACATTTTAATAATGTAATAACATAGTAAGAAGTCTAACTACACACATCGCCAAAATTCTTGGATCCCCTCGTAAATATTAAAACGAAATATTTATCATGGCTGTTTTTTTGTACATTTAATCTTTATTTATTTCACCGTTGACACGCATCTAAAAATAATTACAAAAACAAGTTCCCACAATGTTTAAAAAGTGGTTCATATCGATTTTGCGTGTTTAAGTGATTGTTGAGTTTTTCTTTGCAACTATGCCTGGCAATAGAATTTCAGTGTTCAATAGAGCAAGAATAGTGGTTTTGCATGATGAGGGTCTGTCGAATCATCGAATCGCAGATAGACTAGGGATTCATCACGCATCAGTTATCCGAATAGTGCGTTTATACCAGAAAACTAACAGCGTTGACTGGAGACGTTGGACTGGGCGTCCTAGGGTAATTAATCTAAGAGAAGATCGATATGTAGCAGGTTATGTACGTCGGAATCGAACCGTAACAGTCTCAGGTGTCCGAACTCATTTTAAAATAACGTATGGTCGATTCATTTCCAGTACCACAATACGGAGGAGACTTGCTGGAGCCAATTTACGATCTAAGAGACCATTAAGAGTACACAGGTTACTTCCTAGACATATAGCTGCTCGTCTACAGTGGGCACAGGAACATAGAGACTGGCTTTTAGCTCAGTGGCGAAATGTTCTTTTTTTCGGACGAAACCAGATAAGGTTTAATTAGTGATAGTCGGCGACACAGAGGTTGGAGAGGGCCAGGGCGACCAGAAAGACTATCTTTTGTCAGAGAAGTCGTTCCATACCAAGGAGGAACAATAAGGTTTTGGAGAGGCATAATGCATGGTCGTCGTACGCAGCTTATTCCCATTCCAGACACTATGACAGCTGATAGATATGTTCGAAACATTATTTAACCCATTATTTATCCTCTCCGAAATGAAATTGGAGCCAATTTTATTTTCATGGCTGACAATGCTAGGGCCCATCGCACGAGAAGGTTACAAACTGCACTAGAAATTTAGAATATTCAAAGATTACCGTGGCCAGCAAATTCTCTAGATATGAATCCCATTGAGCACATGTGGGATTTCGTTGGAAGAGCAATCTCAAACAGAATTAATCTTCCTATCACCTTCCAGGAACTCACAGTCGCGGCCCAAGAAGAATGGAACAACATATCAATGGATTACATTAACACCCTTATTGTTTCCATGCACAGGCGAGTTAATACCTTACTTCAGAACAGGGGGAGGGGGGGGGGGGGACACACCGAATATTAATGAAATTTTGATTTCGCTCTAAAGTGATTTTCGTCTGGAATTCAAATTCTAGTAATCATTTTATTATGCACTATTTTTCGTTTGTATTTTTTCTTGTTCAGTTAAAATTTAATTCAGCTAATTTGTATTGAATATAGTGATGGACGATATCGTGATTTTTCAATCACGTTGTGAATCGTTATTGTTACTTTTTGATATCAGTGATTGAAAAGCGTGACGTGATCCCGACCTCTAAATTTCGCGCGTCCGATAACAAGTCGCGATACCAAATAATGAAAAATATATGAAAGAAAAAGAACCATAATGATATCCTTCCGTGATTTAGTATAGCCAAACGAAGGACAATAAGGCACGATGTCGTATGCCACGCGTGTTATTACAATTGAGATTTGCGAAAATCGACTTTATTAGCATACGTTTGTCAATAAGTCACGGAGTCGCCTGCTACCTATCATATTTTAAATAATTTGAAGCGAAAATCGACTTAATGACGTGACTGAAAGTAATACCGGTATTGCAAAAGCCTAAAAGGTTTGAGTACAAAATAAGAAACCAATACTGTGTGTGAGCGTGATCACTTCACGACTTTTTTCACAAGTTGGTAACGGGAACGACTTGATATTTGTTGGTATCAGAGGATCAAATCACATTTCGTGAAATATCGCTCATCACTAATTGAATACATAACCAAATTAAAAGTACTATGTAACACACTTCTTGACTTTTAATAATAGTGTCTTATTTTGACAAATATAAGGGGGTCCAAGAATTTTGGCGATGTGTGTAATTATTAAATGATCTTCAATAATCACTAAAATGTAGTCACCTAATTGGTTTGAATGTCTCATATGCTATATAGGGCAAGCAATTTATATAGTTTTTTTTTATTAAATAGGGATTAAGCTTACTTTTTAGTAAAAGTTCATTATTTTTAGCGGGACGGACAGATAATTCAGGATTATTCCTGATGTACACTGAGCAACCGTAAGTATCAGTGCATGTTCGTCCATATCCATCATTTGGTGTTGTGGCTATATCTTGGTTTTTCTTCTTGCACTCTTCCACTGGCACAAACACATTAACATTTTGCAGACACCTTTTATAATGTGAGCACTTTATTATTATTAATTTTTTTCTATTACTGTGTTATCCAGAATGTTCTTTGCCATAATTCGAAGAGTAAATAATTATGCATATTTTATAGATTCTCTATTAAAATAAAATATGATGACAAATTTCAAGATCCTAGTCTTTTTTCATTCAAAGGCCACTGATTTCGTTCTAATAGTAAATTTACTTATAGAAATTACAAATTTTACATTCTGGATGACCTATTATATTTTTTACATCGCCTCTTATTTATTTTGTTTGCATATTTATATACATACATGAAATTTGAGGTTCGTAAAAAGCTTGTATATATTTACTGAACTTTACTTCGACTTTCTTTAGCTTATTAAATAAATAGTATTTTCCAAGTATATCTAAAACAAATAATTTATCGTTTTGCCTTTTTATTATTTTGTTCAAATCACATTGTAAACTCTACCAATTTGGATAATCGAGATTTAAAAATATCTGTAAACTTTATTTGGTTAAAGTGATAAACTTTGAACACATGGTTTTGGAGCAATTATAACACTCTTAACTGCATGAAATTAATTAAACTGAATTAAAAAGAACTTATTTGTTTAAAAACTTTTTCTTTCACAGAAATAAGAGTTTAGTTAATATAATAATCATATGAAATTTAGCGGAAATGATACTAATAGATATTAAAACTGCAGATATATTATTAACAGGGCAATTTGAACAAAATTATATCGTTTTTAGGCAAAGTAAGCTTGCTGGTGTCTTACTCTTGGGAGTAGGAGGGTTAATACCTCCAAAATCTCAAACGCATATGGAAACTGCTTGTCAGATTACTGAAGATAAAACTATACATCCATTTGCTTACAGAACACATACGCATTCTTTAGGTAAGACAATGATTTCGTTTTAAAGAAAAATATTTGGAGTTACATAATTTGTTGAATAAGAATACATTTTTGAAACTTATCTGTACCACTTGCAGAGCTGGGTAAAGAACTTTTACAAAGCACCAAGCCCTATCGTAAAGTGATTTGAAGTATCATTTACCAAATACTTTCTTTTTTAAAGATGCTTCAATTCCCAAGCACAATAAAAAAAATTAAGCTGTTTAAAACTTTTTTTTGTCAATTTCGTTATATTCCGATTTTTAAGGGATGAAACATTACAAAAGATCATAAATTATGTTGTAATTCTTTTTTTAATATTTGAACATTATTTAATTCAAGCAACACTTAAATATATGGTTTTCAAATTTCTCGTCAATAGGGGTAGTTTACTACCACTAAAAATAAAAAATGCAATTCATCAAAAAAAATTTTGAAGGGGAGGGCTAAGAATTCGGTACTATTTTTACCTTCAAACACGATTATTTTATAAAGTGCTTCAAGCCTTGAAAGTGTGTCAATCACTTCATTGAAGCACTTAGCAATAGTGCTTTACCTAGTTCTGACCACTTGGTAGATACACTACTAAGCATAGACATAACTTTCACGATTTAATTTTCGTTTAGGAAAAGTCGTTTCTGGATATAATATAAAAAGAGATAGTGAAGGTGTAGATCACTGGAGTTTGATAGGAAAACGAGATCCTTTGACGCCACAGATGTTTTATCCAGTTTTTGACAATAGTCCTATAACGTATGGTGATAGAGTGGTAAGGAAATTTCATTTAACAAAATATTTAAAGTAACACTATAAGGGCAGTAGCAGGTTCACGTTGGTATTTCTATGTAGTTTAGTAGTACCGACTGAAATGAAACTTATACCTTTCTTAAGATTTTATTTAACTAAAAACTGTACAAAATCTACAGACAACTAATTAAATAGTGACATCTCTTAATACAGGGTTGATATTTCATACAAATAAAGGTATCAATAGCAACGTATTTATATTACATTCACCACCCTTGAGATTAAAACATAATCCTCCAGGTACTTGGGTTTTTCTTTGTTCGAATCGGGCGGCGCTCGTCGTGATCTATCGCTGTTGGTTGGATCGGTGGCGTCGCGTCTTCTTTCATTGATTGTTCTGTTGTAGAAACGTCATTTGATACTGTGGCATAATCTAATCCAGCGCTATGAAAATCACCTTCACCACGGTCATCTATAGAATGCAAAAGTGAGTTAGGATTTGATTTACCTTCTAATTGATCCAGGGGTATTCGATTATTGTCGCATTCATCCAAAATATTCATATCGTCTCTTGGGGCTAAATGTCACAGAGAGACTAAAGATTCTCGTATTTACTTTGTCTGTTGAATTTCTTTAGAAAAACTACTTTAGAGGATATTTTCGTAAATGCCGAAACATACGTTCATGCGGAGTGCAATTCGTCGCCGTACACAGCAATGATCTTATAGAATGTAATGCATCTTCTATTACTAGTTCCCACTGTGAAGATCGTAATCCTCTGGTCTTAAAAGCTAGTGTAATTGCTTTCCATATTATACCATTATACCTCTCAATTAATAAATTTACGTGAGGGTTGTAGGGCGAAGATCGACTTGTGCCAATTCCATTAGAATGTAGGTATGATTTCAACTCTCGCGACATAAACGCAGCTCCTTGAACAGAATGTATATAAGATGGCATATCAAAAATTGAGAATAAGTTAGTAAAGCATTTAATGACTGATGAGGATGAAGTATCTGGACAAGGATACGCAAATGGGAACCACGAGAATTCATCAACAATTGTCAAAATATATTTATTACGACGTGTAGTTGGAAGGGGCCCCTTAAAATCAATATTGATCCTCTCAAACGGTTGAGTCGCTTTAATTAGAGTCCCTTCATTATACTTTACAAACTTTGGTTTTAGTTCTGCTCATATTGGACAAGATGATATCTCTTTCCGGATTTCCTTTTTCGAATATGGAATATTCCGAGAACGCACCCAGTGGGTCACTCTTGTAACTCCTGGGTGACAAAGTGGTTGATGCAGATGGAACAGAGATGTTTGATTACTGGTCGAACTAGTCACTCTACTCAAGGCGTCAGAGACGATATTCTCCACTCCTCTTCGTTATATTATATCAAAACTAACAAGCCAGTTCTAGTCTCCACCTGAGTATCTTTTCATTTTTAATTTTACTTTTGTCTTTGATTAAACATAAAAGAAACAGATTTTTGATCTGTATATAGCTTAAAATGAGTACCAATTAAGAAATGACGCCATCTTTTGAGCGCTTCAACAATTGCGTAAGCTTCCTTTTCTATGGATGAATGGTGTTGTTCACTCTTGGTCAAAGTTTTCGAATAGAATGCTACAGGTCTCCCTTCTTGACTGAGAGTAGCTGCTATTGAGTGTTCTGAAGCATCGATTTCTACAACGAATGGTATATTGCTGTTAATAGTTGTTGCTACAGATTTAGCAATCTCATTTTTAAGAGCCTTAAAATCAGATTCTGCTGAGGATGATAACGAAAAAAATTTTGAGTGTGCAATTCGATAGATTTTCTCTGAAAAGTTTGGTACCCATCTGGAATAATGTGCAAACATACCTAAGCTTTGTCTTAAAGAAGCAATATTGTCAGGAAGAGGAAATTTTATCAAGGATTCTAACTTAGAAGGATTTGGTCTAATTGTGTGGTTCTCAATATGATAACCAAGTAAGTTAATAGAGTCTTTTGAAAAGGTATATTTTACCTCAATAATAGCAAGATTATATTTTGAAATTGCATTCAACAGATTTTCAAGATTTCTATCATGTTCAGCACGAAGATTACCACATACTGTGATATCATCGAGATATGCAAATACTCCTTTTAGTTTTTCTGCAGCTATGATATTATCCAGAACTCGTTGAAAAACAGCAACTCCATTTGTTACTCCAAAAGGAATTCGGCAAAAATGATACAGCTGCCCTTCTGTTTCGAATGCAGTATATTCTTTTTCATCGTCTCTTATGGGAATTTTGTGATATGCACTACGTAAATCAATTGTACTAAATACATTAAATTTAGATACTTCCAAAACAATTTTCTCGATATTTGGTAACGGGTATGCATCAAGATACGTGAACCGATTTATTGTCTGAGAATAGTCTTTTTTTATGATGGTCAGTTTGGGTCACCAAAACTTGAGCTCTTCTCAATTATTCCTTCAAGAAGTAGTTTCTTAATCTCCTGAGATATAAACTGCGCATCTTTAAATGTTTGTTTGCGTGATTTAGTAGTTACAGGCTTACAATCGACCGATAGGTTTGAAAATAGACTCGGAGGATCTATATTAGCACAAGTTAGACTACATATATGAAGGGGAAATTTTGGTCCGTTAAATCGCACTTCTACAGAAGAGTGCTGTTTAAGGATATCGTGACCAACAATAATATCAGCACATAGTTGTGAAAGAATTGTTTTCTTCGTTTTTCCATAGTAATGACCTGCATTATCTAAATCTATGAAATAGTAGCCTCTGGTTTGGGATTAAAGTCTAGTTGAAGCCATGGATATTAGATCGTAACATGAAGAGTCTTCATAAATTTTTTGTCAATGTATGATTCTGAACTTCCCGTATCTATTAAGGCGTCTGCATCGATATTATTGACTTTAATTTTAATGAGTGATTTGGACAAGCATCTCGGAGCTGCCGCTAGTAATTGATTGGGTTCATTTTAAATTCAGGCAATAGTAGTTTTTACTTTAAATTTCTTGCTTTGACATACTTTTGCAAAATGTCCAGGTTTATTACATTCCTTGCAAATGACATTCTTAGCCGGCAGTTAGAACGAGAATGTCTCTTGTTGCCACAAAAATAGCATTTTGGGCCAATACTTGAGGCAGCATTACATGTCTGACATGGTGAGGAATCAGGATATTCATTTTGCTTATCATGGTTTAATATTAATGAATTTCCGAAGTGGTCAGGTTCGATGTATGCCTCTGCATGTTTTTGAGCAGTTTTCAAAGCAAGTGCCTGAGAATGCGCAATATCCAGTGTCAGAGTTGAATTTTCCAGTAGACGCTGGCGAATTTGGCGAAATGTTGGTGAGATCTAAATAAGTCGATTGAGCCAAAATTACCTATATCACAAAGTGCTTCGTTGGCTTGTGAGGAAGCTTCAGAGAGTTGAAAGAAAATTTTCAAAAACGCTTTGTTTGAATTTTGTAAAATTTGGTATTGTTCAAAGCAAAAATTACACCAACTGAAATCATGGAAGGGTAAAAACCACCCTAATCCTACCATAAATGACATCTCAATAGGGTGTTGAACACTATTGAAAATACAAATTACAAAAATAATATATACGAGTACAGTAAAGGTAGAACTTTAAGAATGTAGGGTTCTCAAATGGTGACACAATAAGTCTAGAGGCTGCAATGTCGCCACATTAAGTCCTAGTGTCCTGTAGAAGAATAACAGTCAATGAAAGGTGAAAAAGATAGATTCCAGCAAAAATAAATCATATAATAGACATTCATTTTTACCCACAATCTTTCTGTGATTACGCCTACACTTACATAACCTATAAATATTATTAGACGAGTGAAATCAGTGATGTTCTTAGGCCAAAAAAAAATTGTAGGAGACAGGCCCACTAAAACGTAATAAATTTCAGTTAAAAAGGTAATAGATTTCAGTAAAAAGTACTAAATTTCAGTAAAAGGTACTAAATGTCATTATAAGATCAGATTCCTTTGCATTTCGGCGCATGCGCAAATTTATAAAATTACTTTTTTTATACGACACAACAATCCGTCAGTTGGATTGTTCCAGACCTAATCCAAACTGTTTAAGCATGCGCCATTTTAATATAGTAATATTTTCAAATTGTGCTCACTAGAAATGTAGAAATTGATTGTGCATGAGGAAGAATTTACTAAGGTTCCTATTTATAAACGGAACTCAGCTGTCGTCCTTGAACCAAAATCGAAGTTCGGTTATATCGCGTAAATTTAGAGATGGGTAGGAACAAATCCGTAAATGTACTTAACAGTTACAGATTTGCTACTATCCATCTCTAAATTCTAGTGTGACACCGGAACTACCTAAAGGTTTTAACCGAACTCTATTTTAGTTCAAAGATGACTCACCCAAGTTCGACTCAGCTGAGTTCTGTTTATAAATACGGCCCTAAGGCATTTTTCTTGAATAAATGATAATAGATTTGGGAAAAACGTAATAACGTAACATTTAAACCAAAAAAGTAATAGATTTATTACGAAAGTAATGAAAAGAAAAACCCTGAGTGAAATGTATCAAAGTTTAATAGCCAAGCTCAGATTAAAAAGGTGAACAGCATATATAGGTATATATTTTATTTTTTAGGCAGCAAGGTGTACAATGGATAGTTCAAAAAGAAATAGAGTTACCCAAGTTGGGTGAGTATTTATTTAAACTTATTATTTTAATATTCCCGGCAATAAATTCGCTGCTCCACTCGCAAAGGGGGATAAGTCAAGATTGGTGAAAATAGGATTATGTGCAAAATTTACAACTTTATACAGCTCAGATAAACAACTTAAGTATAGATTAGTTACGGGCGCAGTTTAACATAGGCTTTGTTTGAAGCCAGTATCTACGAACTTTTGACAGCTGTGATCTCCATGGGCGTATCAAATAGTTTTTTCATCAGAATCCAAAGGATTCTTTTGAAAATATTATGTCAATGACAAATTTAAAGAAAAATGCAACTCAAAGATAAAATTTTATTTTACAAAAAATAAATTCTGCTATTTTTTATTCAAATGTAATAAACGATATTTATAAAACAAAATTAGGTTTCAACTGATTACAATGTTAATATTGTTTATAGGTAGACACCTGTGAAATGTATATTTAAAATGGAACAACAATCCCTATTGACAAAAGTAAGCCAAATTGAATTCGCGCATTACGTCACAGGAGTATTTATTTATTTATTTATTTATTTATTTATTTATTTATTTATTTATTTATTTATTTATTTATTTATTTATTTATTTATTTATTTATTTATTTATTTATTTATTTATTTATTTATTTATTTATTTATTTATTTATTTATTTATTTATTTATTTATTTATTTATTTATTTATTTATTTATTTATTTATTTATTTATTTATTTATTTATTTATTTATTTATTTATTTATTTATTTATTTATTTATTTATTTATTTATACATTGTTCAACAGGTTAAACCCAATTACAGAACAGGAGTACATTTGAAATAAAACAGTTTAACAAAAAGCATATAGATAATTAATCTAAAATTACAGTAAATAAATTCAAAATTATTTTAAACAATGTGTTTTTATGTTTTTAACACTGCAATTAAATATATCCAACTGTTCACTAATATTATTATAATTATTACACATGTTATATACAGGTGAAAACTTCAGAACGTTTGTCCGAGGAGTCGCTATGTAAAATGATTCAGTGTTTCGAGAGGTTGCGCGTGGGATTCTAAAATTAAGCATATGTAAAAGAGCTTCACAATTGATTTTAAAATTAACAACTTTGTAGAGGGTAATTATGGAGAAGTACTTTCGTCTTACGTCGAGACTTGTCAATCTGTGTCTAGTCAGTAAAGCATTTTGAGTAATACCAATCGGTGGATAAATTTGGTCTGCCCGAAAACTTAAGTATTTGAGGAAACGCCTTTGTGTGGACTCTATCCGACAAATGTGTATTTGATAATAAGGATCCCAAATAAACGAGGCATATTCGAGTTTAGATCGAACAAATGAGAAATACAATGATTTAATAGTATCTGTGTTTTTAAAATCACGGCCCACTCGTACTATGAATCCATACATACGATTTGCAGCTGTTGAGATGTTATCTATGTGGTATTTAAACGACAATACTGGGTCAAATGTAACCCCTAAATCCATAAAATTGTTGGGTTTAGAAAGCAAACGTCCATCAAGGACATAATCGAATATAATTGGATGCGCTTTTAATGTGTATGACATTACGTTACATTTGACGGGATTCAGTGTAAGACCATTTTTGTTGCACCATTCAACAACTTTGTTCAAATTTTCCGACAACTGTTCACAGTCAGAAATATTGGTGAAATTGCACACAAAGTGCCTCTGCATTTCATGTACTTATTTTAAAATCAGGAGAAATTAATATTTCTGAAACTCTACAATAAAAAAAAATTTAATTTACTCTTCCGTTATATACCTAAATGCAGTGGCGTCTCGTGACCAAAATTTTGGGGGTTCACAGTGACAGAATATAGATATCAGTACAGATATATGAAAAAAACTTTCGGTGTTTTAGAAAGTTTACAATATATCTTTCTAAAATACTGACAGTTTTTTACCAATATCTGTACCGACATCTATATTCTGCTACTGTGAACCCCTAAAATTTTAGTTACAAGCCGCCCCTGCTTAAAGGTATTCTTAGCACTTGAAGCGATACATTTAAATTTTTTTACCATATACAGGGGATGTCAAAAAATAGGAATTAGAGCAGTTAATTATTTTTAAAAATATGGAAAAAAATTGATTTGTAATAGATTTCATCATTTCTTACTCTAAGAATAAACAAACATACTACATGCTTTGAAAGTATTTCATAATGGATAGACCAATCTATAAATTTGTTCAAACTTATTTTTATATAGTCTGTAACCTTGTTCCAAGAAGGATCTAATGGAGACTGTTAAGCCTAATAGAAATAATATGGACGACAAGATCTGTAGAAATTGAGGAACAAATATTAAATGCGGTCGAACAAGATCCGACAGTTAGTACTAGACGTGTAGAACCAGAGATAACATTAGATATTCATTGATAAAATATAATATTCGTGACTGCGACATCGATACCACAGTCGAAACGGTCCAGTTGTAGATTAGGAGTGAAGAGACATGTGGTGTGAGATACAGGCAGTGTCGGATTAAGGCTACTTGATGCCCTAAGCAATCCACGCCTGTAGACCTCCTTTCCATAAGTAAACTAGTAACGTCCTTTAAAGAAATTACGCATCGAGCCTTTCCTACAGCATCGTCTTTCTTTTTTAATTGCTTATTATTTTCAATTTTGAAAAAGATCGTTCCGCTTTGAAGTTTGATATTATCAGGCATAAAAAAATACACAGGACTGTGTCCACGTGTATTATTTTGTACAATTGTGCGTAAGGAGTTTAATGTGAACTTGTGCGAGGCAAATCACTGGAACTTATTTTTTATATGATATTTGAATGAAACTGTTGAATTTCGGTTCCTAAATCGGTATTAAGGTCTTGTGGATATGTGTTTACTAAATTTCTATAATGCTGACTGTATTCTGAAGTTTGCTTGCGACGTATTTTTATTTTTTGGCGCTGTTTCTGTTGCCCCCAAGACGTGATACCCTAAGCAAGTGATACATATAAAAGTTCGTTTTTTTTAACATGTATTTTATTTTATATTTGAATTGCCTCGCTTTTCCCGTTATAACAATACCAAATAGTGTGAGATTATACACGGTATTTCACATGATATATCCAGTTTTATATGGAAATCGTATTAATTTCAATGACCTGTATACTGCAAAAGAAACAATTGAAAGCAATTTTTTTGCGGTAAAAGTTTTCGACCTTAGTCGATAACTCTGGACTAAAGCCTACACTAAAGCTACCTCAAATAACAATAATAATAAGGTTTACTCCTATTTATAAACTAAAAATGATTATTAAGCAAAGATAATCTAATTATAACATAAAAGGGTCTATTATGTTCACAATATATAACTCCTCCCTCCTTAAGTTTTGCAAAATATGGAGTTATTTTTCAAAACATCTTCTGTGGGATTTTCTAATTCAATTTCTTCGGTTTCTTTCTTCTTTATCTTCTTAAAAGTTGTCTTATGTATTTTATTAGTATTAAAATAATATGCAAATAAAAATTACAAAAATTGTTCCAAAAGTGCTTAAATAATTAAAATTATTTTGAATTTCTTTAATTGTCTTTAATTGTTTAGAAATTTGATTAATTTCATATAAATAATTAAAATCTAATTTAGTAGTTATATTAGAAGTTTGAATTTTCTTCATGTCGATCTTCGGCAGAATGAATGACTTTTCTCTGCTCAGTTGAATGTTGTTGATATATCTTCTTTCACTGGCCCAAATTTCACAAGATTTTGGTATCTTGATTAATACAGGTGACCTTATGTCTATATACTGGTTACTGTTACATTTTGAAAGTTGTTCAGGTTTTGACGGGATTATTCAGACTTCATTGACTTTGATTTGTTCGAATACTGATTCTTCTAAATTAACATTTAAAATATGACAATTTGTCAAAGTTTTTCCTTCAAGAAGTTGGAGAGTACAATTATCTCTGGGGATGAAATTCTGTTAAAAATAATACATTTCTTTAAACTGTGTATCTTGATGTTTTCGTGCCAAATAGGGGGGAATACAGGTGTATATATTTTTTGGATTTGGATAATTGTGAATAAATGATAAAATTCAAAAGTATTACTTTCAAAAATAGGAAAATGTATTGCAAAAATTAACTTAGATTCTGAAATTGATACTTGCGTTCCTAAGAACTGAGAATACGTTAATAAATTTGTAAATTTCGGAAATTGATCAACATTATTTATTTTATGTAAATATTTTATCATGTTTTTATGTCTGAGCTGGAAACTATAGAATTATGTAAAGTATTTAATTTTGCAAAGGTTATGGCATTTTCTAAATTATCTATACAAGAAATTGCCATTTGGCAATCTAAATCAATTTGTGATATAATGGCCTGAAAACTAATATAACTTTCAAGTGTATCGATTCTATTATAAATAGCTGCTTGAATTTTTTCCATATCAACTTTAAATTTTTCTTGATTTTTGCCTGAGATTGTGATTGGTTTATTATAATGATCAACAAGCCTTTTTGTACAACGAAATTTGAAGATTTGTTTCACTGATAATATTTTTTTGATTTACTTGCAATGTTTTGATATCATTATTATATCTTTCTTCGTCATCAGAATCAAGATTTCCAAATAGCCATTTGTTAATTTTTCCAATTGCATTTATTAGAGCTCTTTTATGTCTTACATGAGGAATTAAATTAATAATTTTTTTCTGAACAGTAATTAATTATTAAATATTCTGTTCTTGTTAACATATTTTGTGATAAGCTATGATAATATATAGGGTTACTAGCATTAACATGAACTATACTATGTTTTATCGATTCAAAATGATCAACTAAATTATTAACTTGTTTAACTACTTCTTCTAAATCTAAATAATGTAAAAATGTATGTTTGCTATGTATAAGTTTAGCGTTTCCTAACTGAATAGGAAGCAGGAAATTTTCAATCGGAGTGATCTGTATATCAGATGATGTACTATGTATTTGGTATACATAAATGACTTGTAGA